CATAAGATTTAGTTTTGGAGAAGTTTATTTTGGGGGAGTTGGGGGGAGTCACACCTGGCATTGCTCAGGGATTACTCCTGGCTCTGTGCTCAGTAATTATTCCTGGCGGTACTTGAGGGAACATATGGGATGCTGGGATTGAGCCCAGGTTGGCCGTGTGCAAGGCAAAGGCCCTGTCTGCTTTACTATCTCTCCGACCCCTTTTGGAGAACTTTTTAAGTAATGTTTATAAAAACTTGACTATGTGAGTTTATTACCTTTCATAAATTTTTAATAAAGAACAGATATGCCTGGTGAAAATTTAGCATTGAAAATAAGCTATATTTAAAACATTTAGAATGGAGATGTGTTGTATATTTAAAATACATGCCAGATTTTGAAAAATCTGTACAAAAAAGATTTTGAAACATTACAGACTTAAATGATAGAATTTTAACTATGCTTGGTTAAATTAAATATTAATTTTGCTTGATCACTTGATATCCCGTATTCATCAATTTGCTCGAGCAGGTGCCAGTAACGTCTTCATTCATCCATGTTGCGTGCTAGCGTAGCCCAATGGCATCTGCTCGTTCTAGGAACACGAAGAGCCTCAAACTGATCGTTCAGGGTCTTGACGAAGAAGTCTTACCATCTCATAGGTGGGCGGCCACGCTATCTTTTGACGTCCCATGGAATCCTGTCAGTAATGGCGCTAGTCCAGCGGTCATCTCTAAATCTCATTATGTGTCCAGCCCATCTGATTTTCGATGCCTTGGCAAATGAGACAGTGTCCCTGATTCTTGAGTGTTAACGGAGGTCGTAACTTCGGATTCTTTTTTTCATTTGAGTGAAGCGTCATACTCCAAGCATAGCTCTTTCGATTCCTCTTTGGGAGACCTGAAGAGTGTTCTCAAACTCTTTTTGTAGGGCCCAGGTCTCTGAGGCGTATGTTAAAGCAGGAAGAACAGTGGAATCGAAGAGATGTGCACAGAGCTGGAGGTTCTTCGTCCTCTTAGTTCTTTCTTCAACACTCTTGAAAGCATTCCAAGCCACTCTCTTCCTCCTGCGCAACTCAGGTGCCAGGTCATTCATCATGTTGACTTCTCGACCTAGGTACATGTAACTGTTGCATTCGGAGATGGTCATTCCGTTGAGAGTGAATGGAACGTCAGGAACAAGACTGTTTCTCATGAACATTGCCTTCGTGAGATTCAGCTGTAATCCGACCTTTCCACACTCACGGTCAAAGTTGATCAGCATTTGTGCCGCTTGGCTGATGTTTGGTGTTACTAGAACGATGTCATCAGCAAAGTGGAGGTGGTGTAGTTGCCGACCATCTATCTTTACTCCCATTCCTTCCCATTCCAGTTGTCGCATGATGTTCTCGAGGGTGGCACTGAAGAGTTTCGGTTAAATAGTATCACCCTGCCGAACCCCTCTCTTGACATCGATGATATTAATTTCACTTTCATCGATTCATCAATTTGCTCGAGCGGGCCCAGTAACGTCTCCATTGGAGACTTTGTTGTTACTGTGTTTGGCATATCGAATAAAAAAAATTTAATGGGGCTATTAAACAATTAAGAATGCATGTTAGCATTCCTATAGGACAGCACTGGCCTAGAGTTTCTATTACAACTTTAAACACAAAAATATAGGTATGATTTGCAGATTATAGTTTATCTTTGACACTTCTATTTTGTATGGTTTTTCATATACATATAATTTTTTCATTGTTCTTGCTGTTGGGTTTAATACTTTCATAATATATCCATGTGAAAGGAAAGATTTTATTGGTGGTAAACTGTTACTTTTTATTTGTTTTCTGAAATAACTGTTTTGCCTTCACGTGTGAATAGTGTCTAGATATAGAATTCTAGGTGACGGGTTTTCTCAGTCCTCAAAAAATAATCTTCCACCCATTAGATCCCCAGAACCACATATGGACCTCTGATCAATGCCAGGGGCTCACTTTCAAGCACAGAGCTAGTAGTCACCCCCACACACTGCTATATGGGACCCCAAAACACAAATAAAGTATTGTTATGCATCTTTTATTTTGGTAGTGGCTGGTTAGAAGTAATATTTTGTGAATTGTTTCTAAGATTTTGTCACATTTCCATAATGATCTGTAGTTGTATTATCAGTGTGTCTCGTTATATGTGTTTGCTTGTTTTGTTTCCATTTATTCATTCATTAGTGCAAATGTTCATCTGCAGACTCATGACTTCAATGTGGGGAAATTTCCAGTCCTTGTGTCTTTGCCTTCCTACTCATACCCCTGTTTTATGCTTCTGAAATGTCCCATAGATCATGTCGGCCTTCTCAGTTTGCCACTGTGTCTCCTGACCAACCTCTCTTTCCATGTTCTTTCCTTTATTGTTCTTTGTTGCATTGTAGGCTAATGCCTCAGGTATCTGTAACAGTTTTCAAATCCTTCCACTGTCCTTGGTTGAGTTTATACTTCCAGGGTATTTTTTCCTATCCCAGTTATCTTTCTTTTATTTTCTATTGCATATAATATGATAAATCAAGAGACTCGTTCACTAAATATTTACATCTCTTGCAGCATCACACCTGTATAACAGTTCTGATATACTCTGCAGCATCTGAAATGCTCGGTATAATTCTCAGCTTAATCCACCATTTATGTCACATATCTTTATCCTGTATCATTCAGGGATGGAGTCTCAGCCCCAAGGTCACACAATTTATGGGTAGAGAGCCAAGATTTTGGCTAGTGATGTGACTTGTATTCATGCCACACTGAACACTGCCAATCCTCAAATATTGATACCAAGACAAAGATGTGTTAGGTTGTTCCTAGCTATAAATTTCCAAATTTCTGTTTTTTAGTATTTTGCAACTTATCCAAAATTTTATATGTTTAATATTTATTCAGGATTCAGAGATGCTCTTTGGATTATAGTACCTGTCACCTTCCACTATTAAAAAATGTGCTGGAAATAATATCATTACATTAGTTTTAAATTCCTTAATGTCATTTACATACACAATAGTCAAGTTCTGTTGCTTTAAATGCTTAGTTCCAATTAGAGAATATCCCCATTGAAGTCTTGGAATCAAGCATGTGTCCCACAGCTTGAATGAGAGTCCAACATTCCTAGGTATGAAGCATAACCAGAATGGTTGAGTTTGTAGCTGTGAAACTGAACAGAGCTGAGCTGAGTGGCCCATCTTGGGATTGACTTCAGATGCTCAGACTTTCTAAGATTTTGATGTTTCTACCTCAGCTGCAGATAAAACACAAACTCTATGAACCAGAAAGTCCTGTGCAAACAACTGGAGAACAGATAAGGGGTTGGTTTCCCTGCATGAGAGAGAATGCTCACACAAGCATAGTTGGTTAGACTGGGAAACAGCTGTGACCATCACAGCATGGGGAATTCTAGAGACAATAAACTGCCTGAAGGTGAAGTGAAGGTTTGCTGTGTCTTTTGTCTTGAAAGAAGGTGTTTGCCTTTGATAGCTTCATGATGTATAAGTATGTTTTACATACTATTTTCTAATCTCTGTTGAAGTTATGTTGGAGGTATCCACATAACTTAACTACTCTTTTCTTTGTTTGGAGGGCCACATCCGGCAGTGCTTAGGGATTATTCTTAGTTCTGTGCTCAGGGATCACTCCTGGCAGGCACAGGGGACCATATAGGGTGATGGGGATTAAACTTGGGTCAGCTATGTGCAATGCCTGTGTGCAAGTGCCCTACCACTATACTATCGCTCCAGTCCCACCAAATGACTTTTCATGACATTGTATTAACAGTTATAATTCACTTAAACATTTATTTTTTTCTATTGATCTGCTGTGAATTGTCATTCTACATTAGAAGTAGTGCAGATGAAACAGTATTTTTACAAAACATTTTCTTCTATAAGTTCTGGTTCCAAAAGTGGACTTACGTGGTCATGGTCATTATATGTTTAAACTTACATGTCTTTTTCATATTGTCAATGGTTTTTTGAAAATATTCTACCAATTGAGTGTCTTCTGCCGAACTAAACTGTGTTTTATGAGCTACATTTTTCTCATTCCACCAGATAAGGCATTGCCGCCTCCCTGTTTCATTCTGCTAAACTAACCATTGTACCAAGTACTGGTTTGTTGTTTCTGTAATTTTTTTTGTATTTTTTTTTTAATCTTGAGAGAGCGCTAGTCATCTTTTCTTCTCATTTGTGACAGAGATTGGGTACTCACCTTTCAGCTTTACATAGTTTAAAAATATTTTAACTAGTTTGAGGAATTGAGTTGCCTTAATGTTCTTCACGAAATCTGTAGCCAATAAAATACATTGGGATATGTGTTGTGCAGTAGAAATATAACTGTATTTCTCCACAGTTTGCAACCTGTAAGGGAGTCAGCTTGGAGCTATCACAAGCAGGGACAGGTGTTGCCCCAGGGGTGGATCAAAGTTGGAAATAAATTCACTGTAGTGTTGGGAGTGTCCTTGGCTCTCCTACAAGAGACGGGGAGAGATACTGGAAGACTAGTAACTCCTGATGAATTTAGCAGGTCATAGCAAGGAGTGGGCTGGAAATAAAAACTAGGAAAGTGTGGGATGAAAATATGCTTCCGTGGTTGACCTGGACTTTCCTGGTGTCCTGCCCAGATCTTAGAGAAGCAGAATGACGAACAATGTAATGAATCTCTGGCACTCCTGTCCCTCACTGCTGGGTCTTATTCTGCGTTAGCCATTTTTGGACTCATGGAAGTTCAATGGAAATTTCTTTTCAGTGAATGCATATTGAGAACAGGTCTTGTCAGCTCTTGTGCCTATTTTAAAACGTGAGTATTTATGCAGACTTGAGTGTGCGCGTGCGTGTGTGTGTGTATGTGCGTGTGAATCATATCCTCTTACAGATTTTCTTTTTCCTTGAAAAATATCTGTTGATTTATGTGGTCCAGAAAATTTAAAAAGCTCTTTTAAAAATATCCCTCTAATGTGTTTTTTTTCCCCCATTTGAATGTAATTCACTGTTTCTCATTCTCTTTCCAGTCTCTGGAGAATACAGAGGGAAAAGATGGATCCAAAGTAACTAAACAGGAGGTATGTCTATCTTTGACATCCTGCTTTTAATTATTTTCACAGGATTGTTCTCTTTTTTTCCTTTTGTCTTCTGGATCTGAATGAATACTTTTCTAAACATGGTTGTTGAGACTATGTGAACTAGAGATAAACATATCACTGTCTGGTCTTCTCGGGCCTATATATATATACTTCAATTGAGTTCACTGTTGAGGCATTTTCCACAGGCTGTGTTGTTGTTGTTTTTTTTTCCATCTACCTGTTAGTTCTGCTGTCTGTTAGAGTGGGAACTTGGAGTTTCTTCTGGGCAGAGTGTGATAGCAGTTATCTACAAAGAACAAAGTGTGATTTTTCACTGTGGGTAAATTAAATTGTGTTAATATAATAACTTTCAGTTCTTAAGAGTGAATGGGTCACCCGATGGCCACTCCTGTCAACACTTGGCCAACCAGACTGGACATATCACGGGGCTGGAGTGATAGCCCAGCGAGTAGGGCGTTTGCCTTGCACACAACTGACCCGGGTTCAATTCCCAGCATCCCATATGGTCCCCTGAGAAATGCCAGGAGTAAGTCGTGAGTGCATGAGCCAGGAGTAACCTCTGTGCATCGCCGGGTGTGACCCAAAAACAAAAACAAAAACAAAAAGAAAACAACCAGACTGGACATATCAGTTCTTGAGCCCTGTGATGTAGAGAGGTCAGGGACCAGAAGGGCACCTCTGTTTCATCAGGGATTCAATACACGCCATGTATCCTTGCACTCTCTCTTGTAAATATTTATTAGGTTCTGAATATTTTCGTAAAAGGACTCATTACTAAAGTAAAACTGTGGCAGAATACACACATTTTGGAATACTGAAGGTTTAAAAAAAACAGTGGAAACACTTGGAGGCCTGGGAAAATAAATTGGACAATTATTCAAAGAAACTCTATATTAATACAGAGAAATCTCCCAGAAGCTAAGAACTGGGAAGAAATGTTTTTATTCAATCCTCTATGATAGTACCATGAAGGATCTTCTATAAGTAGCTGATCACAGGCTTCTCAAAGGAGATCAACTGAAAGGCAGGAATGAGGTGGTGACTGTGATCACAGATATTATCTTTTGCAGAGCGCTTTAGTGCATGAGAAAAAACTGAAACGTCATCTCTTGAATTATAAGTGGTCATGAAAGATAAAAACAGTGTCTGGTCACTGATTGTTTGAATTGGGAGATTCATATTGTGGTTAATAGTTTATTGTGGTCTACAGTTACAGAGTAGTCTGTAAGGATAGCAGAACCCCTACAAGATTTTTCATAACATAGATTTTATTTATTTATTTTTGGTTTGGGGCATATCGAATACTCTCGGTAGCTTGCCGGGCTCTCCGAGAGGGGCAGAGGAATCGAACTCGGGTCGGCCATGTTGGCTGCGTGCAAGGCAGACGCCCTATTCAATATGCCAGACACAGTAACAACAAAGTCTCCAATGGAGACGTTACTGGGTCCGCTCGAGCAAATCGATGATCAACGGGAGGGCCTTTTGGTTTGGGGATAACACCCGTTTGTACTTAGAGATCACTCCTGACAGGCCTCAGGGAACTGTGTGTGGTGCCGGAGATTGAACTCAGGTTGGCCACATGCAAGTCAAGTACTGTCTCTCCAATCCCTTCCACCAGATTTGGATGAGGACATTCTTTTTGCTGAATGGAGTATCATTAGCAGAATCTATATTAAGGAAACAATTTAAAAGAAAAACAAACTACTTTAACCAAATGTGTCTCTCCCCCAATCCTTTCATTTACTCAGTATTTCTAACAGAACTTGGGAAGTAAAACACGTGATACAAAGTTAAGTCATAAATAAATGCTGAAACTAACCCAAAATAGGTGCTTGAATGTTATCAAAAAAAGGAAAAATATTTTATAGGACAGTGGAATAGAGAATAATAAATTTTTAGATTTGGGCACATAATGCTGTGGAGTTTGTATTTAGGGACTGTCATTTAAATTGATCTGTAAGTCAAAAAATCTAGAAATCATCGCATGTACGGTATATACCTTGAGTAGCGAAAGAGGCTTTGCAGTCCTACTGCATCAGAGTGGGCAGTGTTACATGTATGCAGACGCGCGCGCGCCCGCACACACACACACACTCACTCACGGGGTGCTGTAACAATTAAGTGGCATAGTAGTGGTGCGATTAGGAGGACACTTTATTTTTCTTTAATGAAGGTAAATTTGAGTCGAAGTGATAGTATAGCAGGTACGTTGCCTGCCTTGCATGCAGCCAACCTGGATTCAATCCCTGTCATCACATACAGCACCCTGAGCTCCTCTAAGAATGATCCCTGGGTGCAGAGCCAGGAGTAAGCCCTGAGCACTGCAGAGAATGACTCAAAAATCAAGAAAGGAAAGAAGGAAAGGAGGGAAGGAAGGAGAGGGAAGATTTCAGGAAAGCACTAAGTAATTATTTTTTTTCCCCCTGGAAAGAGGGCAGTAGGGCAAATAAATTTCGGGAACTTCTACTCTAAAAACAGGGAAATTGTTTAGAATATGTGGTTAAAATATGTAAAATGTTTTTCTTAAACAGTCCTCTATCCATATTATTTTAGCCCCAGAATGTTTGTTACTTATTTTTATTTCTATTTTTAATATTTTGTTACATATATGGGTCGGAGTGATAGCATAGCGGGTAGGGCGTTTGCCTTGCACCCAGCTGACCTGGGTTCAATTCCTCCACCCCTCTCGGAGAGCCCGGCAAGCTACTGAGAGTATTCCTCCCTCCCCACCCATGGCAGAGCCTGGCAAGCTCCCCGTGGCATATTCGATATGCCCAAAACAGTAACAACAAGTCTCACAATGGTGAGTCTCATAATGGTGCCCACTCTGGAAAATCGATGAACAACAGGAGGACAGTGCTACGGTACTATTACATATATAAATTTCCCACTGAATTAAGAGTTGCATCACTCATTACACACAGCCTTGATTCTTGTTATATGTCAGTTATAAAAGGAGTCCTTTTTCTGAAAATCCTCTTTTGCTATCTAATATTTACAGATTATAATACTTGGACATACCAAAATAATGTGATAGTCGTTTCACTTGGAAATTCACAGAGTACTTTCACATACATTTTATATTATTTTCAGGGTAGCCCTAAAATTTAGGCAGAGAAGATTCATTCTTTAACAGACATATGTTGTATATTTCTCTTGCATCAAAGACTGATCTAAGTTCTGCAGACTTAACACTGAGAAAAACAAAACAAAAAAGACAGAAGTCTTTGCCTTGGTGGAGAAGGAAGGGAAAAGAGAGAGAGAGAGAGAGAGAAAGAGTAAAATAAGACCAATGGGTATTTGTTATGAAGAAGGCATGGAAAGATAAAAGATAAAAGTGAACACCAAAGGAGTGTTGTGATTTGTTTTTTAATATAACAGGGAGCTGTTAATATTATCCCTATTTTTTCTAGAGCAGAATTTTTAGGAACATTCATTACTTTTTGTGGATATTGCTGCTTACAAATTGAAAAACCAGGAAAATTATCTGATTCAAACTCATCTTTCCACCTGCCGTTTTGTGGTAATCATAGAGAACTGTTCATTCAGAAGAGCTAATATATATCTTTCCTTTTCAGTGTTTCAAAGAAAGCCATTTCTGCTTATCTCCTTATTTTTAGGGGGGAATTATAAGCAACTTAATGTTTGAGTGCTCGGAGGCACATGGTCAGGCTGTTAAGAAGCCTAAGAAAAATACAAACATGTTTTCAGATTCCAGTGGCATGGGCCCTACCTATGTTTCAGACAGTATGTCTTCAGCACACTACAGCCATTCAATCTGAATCTAGGTATTTCACTGTGCTCAGAAATGCGCCAGGACAAGGACAGAGGTGCACATTGTTTCCAGGTCTTTCTCCTCTCTCCCCCACCAGGTTCAGCACTGGGGACTACAGTGCAGTCCTTGGAAAGCTCTGGGTTCGATCCCCAGCACCACATAAAAACATTTTTAAAATAAAAGCCTACCCACTCCCGAGAATCATTCCATTGGCTACATTTTCTAAGTTTTCACACTTAATCAACACATGGAGAGAAATCCTTAGCTATTTTTTTCTTTTTCATAGTCATCTAACCAAGCAGCCTGAGTCTCAAATGAATTCTTCAGATTCGAGGAAAAAATAGCACTCTCATCTATTTTAGATCTAGTAAATATAGTCCAATCAGTTTATAGATTTTGAAGGCTGTGAAATCTGAAGAACTTTCCAGGAGGTCTGCACACTTGCATGTTAGTACTGCTGATGGTGAGTGAAAGTTTTATCCCAGCCTCTACTGTTTGTAGTGAGGACGAAAATCTCTCGTAGTAGTTATCAGAAAGAAATAACTTAAGTGAATCCCTCCTTTTCTCTATATAAAGTATAGAAAAAACAACTGGTAAATTTTAGGCAGGAAGTTATAAAATGATTTCATAATATAGCATGTGATATTTTAAGACTGGTTAGAGAGACAAACTGTTTTTGCATGAATTTTCTAGACTTTGTATTTAAAACTCTTGTGTGAGACCTTTCTTAAAAGGGAGAAAGTCCTTTGGATCAGAGTAGCTTTCAGGTCCTCCAGAGCAGCGCTTGTGGAATGCCTCTCTGGAAACTCCAGAGGGTTGCCATCACTTTGCCCTTCAGTATTTTGGGGTACTCACACGGAGAGGGGAAAAACAAATGCATAGGAATTGTTCACATGGAAATTTTCACGTGACTTGACCTTGCTCCAAGTAGAGTTTTCTCAAGACCTTGACTTGAGATATAGGGAGGCAATAAGTTGTGCTCAATTTATTGATCATAGTTGGGTTCTTTGCCAGCCCCCAAACCAGAGAGTAGCAGAATAGTGACCTTGCCTGCCCCCAAATCCAAGTTTACAGTTTCTGTGTATTGCTGGGACTGATTTTCATTTTGTTCACTTTAGCATTTACTGGGGACTTCTGGTAGATCAGAGCTACAGAAATGTCCCAGAAGATGATCCTGGACAGAGGAGGTGAGGCCAACATGGCATACACAAGCTGCCACAGAGGAGAGAGATTCCGATAAGGCCCTTGACCCATCTATACCATCTATAGCTAAATGTCACCACTTCCTTTGGGGCAGGGGGTCCCTTTCTAAGAGCATCCTTCTACCAGTGTCACTTTCCATACAGAAAGGCATGGGCAGTTCATAATTCCATGTGGAACCTTCAGAGCCAGGTTGAGGCAATCGGCACATGTGCCTTTGCTCTTCAGTGCTAAGAGGATATGTTGAGGGACCAAGCTACCCACTGGTTACCAGGTTAAATTAATTGATACTATGGCCTTTTGTTCAGTGATACCCAATTCATGTAATCAGCTGTCCTGATGAAGGAACCACAGGATTGGGGTTCTACTTCCCAGTGACTTGTGGACGCCTTGGATGTGCCCATGATAATCCAAGCAGTGGCTATGATGCTTCCTGGGGAGCATCTTAGACCCACACCACCACTCAGACCAGGTGCTGAGCTGCACAGCGTTTGCACTTGACGATATCCTAGCCACCACTTTCCTTGCACAGTCTCCTAGTCTGGGCATACTCTGGTAGTAGACCTTGAGGTCTGATCTATTCTTGAGACCCAGGGTTAAAATTATTCATGAAGGCTCTAGCTCTTCGTTTATGCCTATAATTTAAAGAAGATGAGTATATCTCACTGTGGCTATTTTAACGTAAAACGTTCTCAGATAATGAAGATGACAAGAGATATTTCTTCCAGATTGATCTGACCAGCTAATCTAGGTTGCCCCTTTGAAATTTGTTTCAAGAACACCCATGATTCCTTGCAATCATGGCAGAGAGTTCTGACATATGGAGAGGCCATTTTTGCTGACCCTCTTAACAGTTATTTGAGACAGTTAAGCTGTTGTATGAGGTTAAGTCTCCATAGAGAAACTTTAGAGGAAACTTGACTTCATTTATTCATCAAATATTCTTCAGGAGCTACTGTATTTTTAGAACACCTTTCTGTTAGTGGTAGAGCTGTGAATAAAATTGACTAAAATTTGGAGTATTTACTTATGGAACACTTTTAAAGAAAAGTAATTGTACTTTTAGAATAGGAAATCCCTGGGAGAGAGTTATTTTTGCTGCTGGTAAATAGGATATCAGTTCTATGTGCTTATTTCTGAATGCCTGAAACCATTCTGATATATATATGTGTGTGTATATATATATACATGTATATATATTGCTTTTGGGGTCGTACCCAGTGATGCTTAGGGGTTACTCCTGGCTCTTCACTCAGGAATTATTCCTGGCGGTGCTTGGGGGATCATATGGGATGCCGGAGATCAAATCCGGCCAGCTGCATGCAAGGCAAATGCCCTACCCGCTGTACCATCGCTCCGGCCCCTAAGATATATTTGCAGTCATGAACACCATTAAGTTGTACCATCCTTGAAGAAAAAAAAATCCTGAAAAATATCAGTCTAAATCCAGTTTCTCTCTAAATCTTATGCACTTTAAAATGAAAAGATGAATAAACTTTTTACTCTGTTTAAAACTTTAAGCATCTAATAGATAAATGAGTATTTTTATCTGACTTTGGTATGAAGTTTTTCTTAACTGTCTTAAGATTTGTAGTCTAGACTGGAATGTAACTCAGCAGTAGAGCTCTTGCTTTACATGTGTGATGAAGACTTGGTTTCAATCTCCATCACCACCACACCACACACACACACACACAGAGAGAGAGAGAGAGAGAGAGAGAGAGAGAGAGGAAGAGAGATTGATTTTTGTCATTCTCCTTTCTAACATAATCACAAGACAACAAAATCCCAGTAATTGGGTTTTAAACAAGTTTTGTATTAACCTAAAAGTTTTATTTTTATTTTTTAAGGAACAAAAGTTAGACTGAAATGACTTAGAGATATCATGGTGTTCCTGCTATCAGTTTTATCACAAAAATAGAATATGATTTAGGCCAACTAAGTTCATCTTCCTTTTCTTTACTTCCTTGCCATGGCCTTAATTAAGTGAGGCTGTTTCTTTGAGCAGTGTGATAATCATCTTGAGAAACTCTTTTTGAAGAGTTTAAACTCTTTTTTAAAGAATTGTCCAGTATTAAAGTGTCCAGGGCATTTGGCATCTGGAGAGAAAAATGGGAGGCATACAGATGTTTTCCCATTAAATAAGGCTATTAAGAATACATTGTCTAAAGTCAACTTTACTACATAGAGTGACAAAAGAAATTTATTTTTCTGCTTTCTTTGTAGCCTACCAGACGGTCTGCCAGATTGTCATCGGTGAGTACTGCTTGAGAATCCCCTTTGGTTTTAGTACTTACTGCTACCTGCTCCCTCTGTCCAGAGTAAGGCAGCAAAAGGAAAATTAAAGTGATGTTTCCATTGAGTTTTTTTCTGTCCGTTTTTGGAAACTACCTGGACGACCACAATTTCTAACAAATTTGACTAGAGTTGCAAAGCAGATTATTTACTTGATCATATATGTCAGTGAACAACAGAGACCCTCCCCATTACCAAGAATAGAAATATCAGAAACTTGTTTGATACTGTCAGCTCTGAAACAAGAGTATGTAAAGCAAAACTCTGACCTTTGATTGTGTACATTATGTGCTCAAGTAGACAAGAGTTTCCCATCTTTCTTCATAATTCATGCTGCAATCAGTGTTGTGCAAGTTGTCTGACACTATACCACGGGGTCTTTGAAAAAGAGCTTCCTGTTTTGCCTCTTGGAGTCTCCCGGTAGGATCCAGGCCCATGTAAGAATCTCGGCAATAAGGGTTCTCTTGCTATTCCTTCCACTCACTGCTCATCCCTTCTGCCTGGCCCCAGTACCAGTTCTCATTCTGCCACAAGAGGCCACCCTGGCTCTCTGGCAGATTTGGTCTGTACTTCGTTCTCAGTCAACACCTACCAACGCATGGGGTAGCCAAAATGAGTCTTAGAAACCCTGCAAGTTCAGAGTATGTCCAAGGCTGCACTTGATCATAGCTAAAAGGCAGAGAAGCGATGCATACTTAGGGTTGAATTGGTTGAGCCAGTGTTTGTGAGTTCCAAGCTTAGGAGGTTTGGGGAGATTAAGAACTGGAAGGTGCAATTGTGGGTTCTTGGGTAATCCAGACTCTTCCCAAACCTCTCACAGGTGTGTGGCAGCCTGCTCAGCAGTAATAGTCACCATAGTTCAGAAGTGATGTTTCTGAAGTTTTTTAGATAATCTGCAGATTATCTGAAAGCACTGGGTAGGGGAAGGAGGGACTGTTAGAAGAGTGGCCCTTGCCAGCCAAATAAAACCCAATTTTTTTTGTAGGAGTACTGCTATTTATTCAGCCACTAATTAGCTGATTGAATTGGGCATGAACTCCACCTTAATTTTTTTTTATATTTATTTCTTGAATCACTGTGGGAAAAGTTACTAAGCTTTCAGGTTTAAGTCTCGGTCATACAATGATCAGACACCTTTCCCTTCACCAGTACTCATTTTTCACCACCAAGAACCCCAGTATACCCCTCTCCCACCCCTCCAAGTGCTTGTGAGGCAGATAATTTCTACTTAACTCTTCTCTACATTGATCACATTCGTTATTTCCACAAAAGATGCACCATTATTGTTTAGAATTTCCCCCCCAAAAAAATCAGAATTGCTGAAAAGGCATTGTGAAATATTTTGTTTTCTATAGCATATAATGTCACGCGGCCACGATTTTGGATTTCTGCAAAGAGCCAGATAATTACGAGATTGGATAAAACCCAATTTTAACAAGGTTTCTCTCTCTCTTTTTTTTTTTTTTACCCTGAGCCCCTGAAACCAGCACTACAGTGTTTCCCCTGAGGTCATGGCCTTCGGGGTTGACTCTGACATACTCAAAGGCCAGTGGAGCTACACACTCTGAACCCTCATCATTTTACATCTTTCAGAACAGCTTGAATGCTGGACCTGGGGACGGGTCTGTCTTTCAGAAAACACCCTAAGGGAAATGGTTGCATGCAAATGAGACGCTAAGCAAAGTGAATATTATTTTTTTTTATAATAATCAAAGCCCAAAATAAAACTATTCAAATTTTGAAGATTTGGAGCCTTGTAAACAGCTCAGGAAAGCAGATTTAGAGTGGCAAGATTAAGAAAGACATTTGTTAGTTTTCAAACTCAATCTTCTTTCTTTATCTGAAGGTCATTTCTAAGTAACCAATCTTCCAGAATTGGGCTCTCTGCAATTTCGCGTTATGAAGCGTCAGGGAGGAACATGTATTTTTCTCCACAGGAGGAGACCCTGGCTCGTGTCTTCAAAAGCCATTCCCCCTAATTCTAGAAAAGATATACCCATCCTTTCCTAACTCAAAGGATTCTTTTCCCTAAAATAGCCACAGAGAATCCGAGCCTTGGTTGTCTTTGCTACCAGCCAGGGCTGCAGACCGGCTGTGCTCACAAGGCTGGAGATAAGAGACCTAGAGGTGAGGAAGAAAAGGTTGCTAGTGCGCCCTTTGGCCAAGACCTGCCTGTGCGAATATTTAAGAAACACAGTATGAGACTGTGACCTCAGGACAGTAGAAATGAGAGCCAGGAGGACTGCCTCAGAGTTGGAAACTTGTCACAAGTGAGGGGACAGGGTGCAAGGTAGTTTGGATAGAGAAGGGAAAATGATCACTCTGCCAAGAATTGAGTGCTGAAAGTAGGTAAAGGGATATTCATGACGACCTTATATTGCCTATATGAGGGAGAAGGAGAGAGAGAGAGGAATGTGTCTGCCTTAGAGGCAGGCTGGTTTGGCGGGGGTGGGGGGTGGAAGCAGGGAAATTGGGGACATTGCTGGTGGGAAAATGTACACTGGTGAAGTGAGGGATGGTGAAACATGGTACGACTGAAACCCAATCATGGACAACTTTGTAACTGTTTATCTCACAGTGATTAAATAACAAAAAAAAATTTTAAGGAAAAAATAACTATGGGAGTCACTAGTGGCAGTTCACATTATAGTTGAGTTCTTATTAAAAAGAAAACGCAAGGGACTGGAGCAATAGCACAGCGGGTAGGGCGTTTGCCTTGCACGCAGCTGACCCAGGTTTGATTCCCAGTATCCCATATGGTCCCCTGAACACCGCCAGGAGTAATTCCTGAGTGCAGAGCCAGGAGTAAGCCCTGTGCATTGCCAGGTGTGACCAAAAAAGCCAAAAAAAAAAGAAAACTCAAGTGGCAAATGAGCCCAGAGTCTGGCTGGAGGGACATTCTTGTCCCCTTGAACTAGTATTGGAGAGGATAGAAATAGGAATGAAGCTTCGCTACAGAACTTAAACTCTACGTCAGAGGGGAAAGGATTTGGAAATTATATTGAAAGTCTTAATGGGCCGGAGGGCTCATTAGTTGACAAGTTCTGCCTGTGATGCTGCTGCCATTTCTTGGCCTGTCGGAAAGTCCCATGTGACTGAATTTATCGAGTCATTTGGCCACAGGTCTGAGTCATTCCTCTCCGTGTTGTATTGAGATCAAAGGAAGTACAGAGAGACGTCGAGATTGAAGATTAAACCTGTTCCCAGAGAGCAATCCTGGACCAGTGAACAATGCAGAGTCTTTTAACTTTCGCCCGCTGTTCACTTGAGAACCCAAGATGAAAATAGTCCTGAAATACAGAGATCTTTAGGATCTTACCTGGCCCTGAAAATATATTTTAAGTGAACAAATCATAGTCAAAATGGACTCTTACCTATTGATGTCTTTTTGTGTCCCTTGGGGTTCTGAGGAGTATCTTTTTCAATATTTGCCTAACTTAATGTTTACAGAAACCTGCTCCACCAAAATCTGAACCTAAACCAAGAAAAACACCTACTAAGGTAAGAAATGCTACCTCCCAAAACCTTGGCTGTTGCTGATTGATTTTTAAAATGCATAATGCTGACTCCATAGCCAAAAGGAAGTCAAGGAGAGATCATGTCATGATGCAGGCTGAACGCACTGACCTGAAAATTGTTACCGCTGCCTTTGCTTTTCTGTCACAACTTCAAGCTCAGTTTGATGCTTGACCCAAGAGTGTATTTTCTGTGTGGTCAGAGGAAGAGAGAAAATGTTGCTCAGAGTATCCTCACGCCCTAGGGGGATTTCATAACTACTGCTTAGTGCGCTAGAAGTCTGGGTGCTGACAACACTGCAGGCAGAAGGGCCTTGGCAACTCAGACGATGAGTGAATAATCACGTAACAACAACTGGTAGCAGACATTAATACTAGCAAACTTTTTTTTTTCTTTTTGGGTCACACCAGGCGATGCACAGGGGTTACTCCTGGCTCGTGCACTCAGAAATTACTCCTGGCGGTGCTCAGGGTACCATATGGGATGCTGGGAATCGAACCCGAGTTGGCCGCGTGCAAGGCAAACACTTTACCCACTGTGCCATCACTCCAGCCCCAATACTAGCAAACTTTTAATGGCCCTTTCGTCTACCATGCCAGATGCTCTTCTGCTCTTCTGATTCCTTTACTCCTAACTCTCACATCAACCGGACAGAGGAAGACAAATACCTGTTTTGCAGATGAGAAAACTGAAGTATAGAATTATCGAGAAACTTGTCCCAGAGGCTTTTTTTTTTCACAGCACACACACACAGCACACCATCTGTTCTTGTGCGTTGTTTGAAAGTGTGTCTTGGGGTGTGATTCTGAAGCAGAACTCCTTTCTGTGACTTGGTGTCAGACTCGGGGTTGTCATTTTCCAATAGTCCCTAGTTTGGGAGTCACTCAGACCCCGTGTTCCTACACAAAGTTATTTTGCATGCTGGGTTCTTCCCTGACTTCTGCTTCATCCTTTAAGCCCTGCCATTTTATCCCTCCAACCCTATAGTCAAACCACGTCTCACTTCACTGTGACCGAAAACAAACCATGAGGGACTCGATCATGATTCCGCAGAGGGAAAGTCCAGTGTGCTTTTTAAGCAGCCCGTCATGGAGATTCCACGGAAACCAAAAGTCCCATTCCCCCCCCCGAAAGCCCGAAAGTGGTCGTATTGGGCTTCTCCTTTATGTTGGCACAGAGCTTGGCTGACAGTAACTAACAGCGCCCCAGTCGTAACTGCTGTTTCCCTGTGCTTTGCTCCTCTCCTAGAAAGAACCTGGAACAAAGGTTAATAAAGGTGCTAAAGGGAAGAAGGAGGAAAAGCAGGAAGCTGGAAAGGAAGGTACTGCACCCTCTGAAAATGGTGAAACTAAAGCTGAAGAGGTACTTTCCATAAACGCCTCCCACTGATGGAGTCAGTGTCTCTAAAGGAATTCCTCAATCTTCCAGCCAGTGATAGCACATTCATATTGTCTTTTTTTTTTTTTTTTGCCTGTAATGTTATTGCAGATCCACCTCTCTCGGTCAACTGTTAATGTCTCTGCCTCCAGAAGTACCACACCCAGCACTCTGTCAGGAAAGGGACAGATTGAAACAGGGAGCGTTAAGGGTACAGTAGAAAATTCTGCGTGTTCGAAGTGACTAGAAGCAGATACAGTTGTGTGGTGCTTTTACTTTAAACAGTGGGAACTGGCACGGTAAAGCTTCCGTGGAGGTTTGTAAGACAAAAAGCAGTAAATGCAGCTAAGTGCCTAACGTAGTACAGCCTTGTCTGTTTGACGCCCAAAGTCAAAATGCATTTTGCAGAAGAGATGCCAAAAGCAGATGTTCCAAAGTGTCTGTGTTGGTGGGGTGGACTTTCCTTTGGCCTAAAAATGAAGTGTTAATAGTAACTGTCTCTCCCTCCCCCCTCTCCCTTTTCCTTTTTACAGGCACAGAAAACTGAGTACATAGATAACAAGGGAGAATGAATTGCCATGAAATAATGGGGTTGATTTTATGTACCTCTTGGGACAACTTTTAGAAGCTATTTTTACCAAGTATTTTGTAAATGCTAATTTTTTTAGGACTCTGCTGGTTGGCATTCAAAGATATATAAGGATGGACATTTTACCTTCTGATAGCCATGCATTTTGGAGTTTTCATCATCTTCAAGTGAAATAAATACCAGTTTAATATTGGAAGCTGTGTGTAAAATTGGTTCAGCATTCCATGCACTTGCTTTAAAAATTTAGCCCTGTGTATACCGTGGTGTTTTTATTGTGCATATATGAATTTTTCACTGTTTTTCTAGAGCAATAATTCCTTGGTGTTTTTGTACCTAGGTTTTATGTGGTTTTAATGAAACATGGATCGTTATGGTCACCTGTTGACTGTGGTTTAAAATAAAAGGTTTTTCTTGCCTGCAGAGTGTCTGCCTCCTAGAAGTGTCTTTACTAAATACAGACAGTGTTTGATTGTACTGTTTCGGAGGAAGTAAAGAATTTTTGTTGAGTTGGATAGATAGTATAGGGATTAAGGCACTTGCCTTGCACGTGACCAACCCAGGTTCAAAACCCAGTATTGCATGTGGTTCCCGAGCACTGCCAGGAATGATCCCTGAGCACATCCAAGAGAAAAGTCTGAGCAACCCTTTTCCCACCCGACAAAGGGCTGGAGTTCATGCTTCTCATACAGAAGACCTGCTTTTAATCTTTGGTTCTCCACTAGGAGTGCCCTAGGTGCAGAGAGCCAGAAGTAGCCCCTAAGAACCTCCTGCACTGCACTGTCCTCCCATTGTTCATCGATTTGCTTGAGGGGGCACCAGTAAATGTCTCCATGGTGAGACTTATTGTTACTGTTTTTGGCATATCGAATACGCCACAGGGAGCTTGCCAGGCTCTGCTGTGCTGGTGGGATACTCTTGGTAGCTTGCTGGGCTCTCAGAGAGGGATGGAGGAATCGAACCTGGGTCGGCCACATGCAAGGCAAATGCCCTACCTGCTGTGCTATCGCTCCAGCCCATAAGAAGCCCCAAACAAGCAAATAGTCAAAGTTCTTTTTTTACCTTGTTCTCCCTTACTACTTTCCTGTGTTCCAAAGGCAATCACTATTTACTAGCTTTCATGGCTATTGTGTATACACGTACATGATTTTTTAAAGAAAAGAATCATACTGTTTATTTTACTTTATTAATTTAATCAATATACTATAATTGGAAATAGAGACTATTTCTAATATTGCATTGCTACCTATGGTACTGCAGTAAACACTTCTAGACATAAAACTTTGCCTATTTAAACATATTTTTCACTAATTTTCTGGAAGTGAGTATTTGTCTCAAGGGAATGCACATTTGACATTTTAACTATTGCCAAAAGATATACCTAACCACTTCCTTCAACAGTATGTAAATAGCAATCTCTTCTGACCTTTGCCAGCACTTAATGTCTCAATATTTTAATTTTAAGTGTAACATTGTTAGTAAAATTAAAACTAAGCTTTTTCTATGTTTAATAGTCATTTACATTTTTTCTGTGAATTTTTCTCTAATAGGAAGCGCATATTTTGTTGTTGTTGTTTTGTCTACTTTTTTATCATGAGATACTTTTACAGACTTTCATGATTACATTTCAGTCAGACAATGTTCGAGTACCCATCCCTCCACCAGTGCCTATTCTCCACCCTCCCCCCCACTGTTCCAAGTTTCCCTCCCCTCAGCCCCTCCCCCTTCCCACCTCCTGCCTCTGTGGCAGACACAATCCCTCTTACTCTCTCTGTCTTTTGGGGTCTTATGGTTTGCAATACAGGTAACATGCAGCCATCATGTTTGGTCCATAGTCTAGTTTCAACATGCATCTACTATACCTGGGCAATCCCGCCAACCATCATTTATTTAGTGCTCCTCTCTCCATCCCAGCTACCTTTTCCCCCAATGCATGAGATCAGCTATCCAGCCATGGGGCAGTTCTCCTGACCCTTATTTTAACTGCCCTTAAACGTTAGTCTCCTGTTATGTTACTTTATATCCACAAATGAGTGCAGTTCTTTTATGTCTGTCCCTCTCTTTCTGACTCATTTCACTTAGCATGATACTTTCCATGTTGATCCACTTCTATGCAAATTTATGGCTTCATTTTTTTCTAACAGCTGCATAGTATTGCATTGTGTAGATATGCCAAATTTTCTTTAACCAGTCGTCTGTTCTCGAGCACTCAGGTTTTTTCCAGATTCTAGCTATTGTAAATAGTGCTGCAATAAACATACAAGTGCATATATCATTTCTATTGTAGGGAGCGCATGTGTTTTAAATATTATTTATGATGATTGCATTTGCGGCCACGCAACATCTTATTATCTCATTCTTGCTTTGGACAACCTGGCAGGCTACCGAATGTAACCTGCCCACACGGCAAACTCCCCCTGGCATACCCAATATGCCAAATACCAGTAACAATGATGGGTCTCATTCTCCTAACCCTGAAAGAGCCTTGAATGTGGCACTTTTAGAATCTCAGGGCTAAGACGAAGGAGACGTTACTGGTGCCTGCTCGAGGCAATCGGTCAACAACAGAATGATCGTGATTGTGATCGTGATGATGATTGTTGATGCCATTACATTTATTTCAATCACACAAAGAATGTTAAAAAAAATTGTGGCTTGGAGTTGGAGAGAGTACAGAGTACAGCAGGTAAGGTACTTGCCTTGCAAGCAGGCAACCCTGGTTTGATCCCTAGCACTTCATAGGGTCCCCTAAACCCTTACCAGGAGCACAGAGCCAGGAGTAAGCCCTGAATACCACTATGTGTGGTACAAAAACAACAACAAAACAAAAGGTGGCTTATCTTTGAAGAATGCTCCAGAATAGAGAGCAACCCGAATGACCTAAGTGACCTAGATTGGTTCACCAGATCTTGAAGAGTTCATGGATTCAGTGCCTGAAAACAAATCGAGATTTAGGAATATACATTATTGCCCAGTTGTCAGTTTAACTACATTGGAAAGGTGTCCCCTGCAAACCTTCTGATAAACGTAATAGCCCTGTGAATCTACAGTGACTCTGGGGCAATTGGTGCTCCGTAGTTGAGAGAAGCATTGCTCATCAGTTCTCTTTGAAATTCTTTGTGGTCCTAAAATTCTTCCTGGAGGCTGCTCTTGGATTTTAGGGAAAGTAACATTGGGCTTTAAGAGACAAGTGGTTCTGAAATTTACTTTTAAGCTTCTATCAAGAGAAGATTAAACCTAATTCAAGATCCATTCATCAGAAAAAAAAATCAAAAAATATATATAGGTTATCTGCTCTATAAAATGCCACATGTACATTTACAAAATACAGCTGTTTTTTTGTCCAGAAATTTTAGAGGACTTCACTTTTGGCTTCAAATTGTCAATTCCAGCAAGTGTTTGGGAAGGGCACCTCAACTTGTAATGATCACATACGCTAGTCTGCCTCTTCTTTGAATGTTTTTTGATTCATTATGAATTCCAAACTATTTTTTCCCTATTTGTCCAGAAATTGAGTGGAAGTCAGTGTCAGAAAATTTTAATGATGTAGATAATAATAATAACCACAATTTAGTAATTTCCTATAATAAACACTTTTATAAATTATTCTTGTCCATAGTCAGATGTGTTATCCATTGTACCATGGGTCCCTTTTTATAAATTAATTTGGATAAAATTTATAAATTTTATTAATATAGTATTCCTAGATTCTAAATCAAGCTAAATTTTTTAGTGCCAAAAAGAGGTCCAGGACACTTTGTGCTTGTATTATCTCTCACTCTTGGAAAAAGATGAAATCTAAGTTTTAAAATGATACTTACATAAAAATATCATAATTTTGAATTAGGATAGGTAGTAGTTTCTAAGAGATGTTACCATAAGAGATGTTACCAAAAGCACAGCAAGAAAAAACTGAACATCAAAACTTAAAAGTTCAAGAGGCGAGCCACAGAATCAGATAAAATAGTTTTATATTATATGTCTGAAGATTAGATTGAGGTTAGATTATATATCTAGGATTAGATTGTATAAGGAGATCTTGGAACTCAATAATAAATAACTTCCTAAAATATTTAATGTTCGAACCAGGATATCTCAAAGGACTGGGAGACACACTTTGCATGCAAGTACCCTGCGTTCGACCTGCATCTGAGTGTGCCCCTCCAAATACTGCAGGTGTTGCCTGACAGCAAATAAATTGAATGCACGACGAATTTTGGTAGACATTTCTCTAAATGCATGTTCATAGCCAAGATGCAAATTAGTGTATGTGAAACATCATTGCTCATTAGAAAAATGAAAATCAAAACCATAGTAAGAAATAACTTTACATACAATGCAATAGCTACTAGAAAATGGAAAGTGTTTGTAATTTGTGCAACTTGGATGGAACTGGAGGATGGAACATGCTTAGAGAAATAAATCAGAGGCAGAAGGACAACTAAGGGTGATCTCAGTCATCTGTGGTATAAAGAGAAACAAATCAAGGGTATGAGCAATAAGCGATCAATAATAAACCTTGGGTACTGGAATTCAGATCTGAGAGGTTTGGGGGACATAGGTCGAGGGGCTCAAGCACAGGGTGGTGCTAAGGAAGGGAACAGTCTGCACCATAACCATAACTGTTAATCCACAAATAATGGGGGGGATGGCTGAGGGGGAACGAAGGTCAGATGGAAGTTGAGATAGGGGTGGGGGGTGGGTCACGGACACTTAGGTCGAGTTGGTGTGCAGCAGCTGTGTGTACATCAATACCAGAAACTTGAACACTACTGTAACCCTGCTCACTGTGATCAAATAAAAAGAAAATAGAACATGGACTGGGAGATAGATAGGACAGCAGTTGGGTGTGTATCTGGATACTGCCAACCCAGGCACAATTTCTGGCACCACGTGGTCCCCGGGCACTGCTGGGTGCAGCCCTGGAGGCTTCCAGACCACCAAGGTGTCTGGGATATCATCGAAAGTACAGGGTCGAGAACTATAACATTAGCCAAGAATTGCTGGTTCGCCCCTAGACCTCAGAGCACCACTTGGAAAGTCAAATATAAGGGGTGGGAATATAGCAAGTGTGGGAGAGGAAGAAACTGGAACCTTTATTCACCACAAGTAGGATGATAATTTGGTATATTCTCTTAGGGGAGGAAATGTCTTCTGGAAGCCCCCTCAGAATCTTATATTTGCCATAGAACCTATCAATTCCACTTTTATTTTTGTTTTGGGGAGCATCACCCAGTGATGCTCAGGGATTACTCTGTCTCTGCACTCAGGAATCACTCTTAGTGGGTTCAGGAGACCGTATGGGGTGCCAGGAATCGAACCAGGGTCAGCAGCATGAAAGGCATGTGCTCTGCCCTCTGTACTCTCATTCCAGTTTCCACTCATCAATTCCACTTTCATGTATATGCTATAGACAAAGGAAA